ACTAGATACTCCACGACCAGCCTTATGGTCCAACTCAAGCAATTGACTTATTCATAGCAACTATTATGCTCTAACTCTGAGAGAAGAAAACACTCAGGACTAATCTCATAGCTGGGACAATTTTTCAATATCTGTAGGCATCTCGAGATCAATTTATTGAGTCTAGAATTCTAATACCAGATATAAAACTCAAAAATTATAATAAAAAACTACGAGAAATAAATTTCATCGAACCAATGTAGATAAGGGGGTAATTTACACACATCAAAATATGTGTGGGTGGAGAGGAATAATACCAATAGTAATACATTAATCATACACCAAAATAATAATAATAACACTATCAAATTTTACTCTTCTCAACTGACAACAATAATAAGACTCTCTATTTATAAATTAAACGACTTGATAATCAAGTCTTATAAGTTTTAAAATCATAAGAAAATTTCTAATAAAATACTAATTTTTAAACAATAAAACTATCATCATTGATTCTAATAGAATTACTAAAATATTAACTTGACTAAAACACGGTTAAATAATAATATAGAATTTTGTGTGTTTGGATTGCAATTTTCTGGAACTTTTTTGCAAAAAATGTATTGTGATTTGATATATATATAAGGTAAAAATGTAATTGAAAAATATATTCACGAAAACGTAAAGATTTTTTTGATAAAAAAATCCCTTTCCAAACAAGGAGGCTTGATTTAGCATGTGAACATCCCTTAATGCACGGGTTGAGGCATCAAGAAAGTATTTATACTAAATGGAGAATCACTGTTCGCAGGAATAGGAATGGCAACGGGGAGTGTTTAGAGCTAGGGAGGGGAGGGTGCCCTCCCCTGCCCCATTGCCCACTACTTCCCCCCCCCATCCCTTGCCCCTCGCTCCCCCGCCCTGCCCCACTTTCTCCGCGGGATTAATAAAAATTTATCATATAATTTTAATGTAGTCAAATTTTAGCAAATAATTAAGTACTAAAATATCAACACATCACCAAATCATTATTCATTGTAATTTCACAATTGCAATCCATAAAAACAATCAAACAAAAATTATTTGAATACAATCCAACATGCTAAAATAAATATAATTAAAGTAGTCAAAATTTTCGCTTTTCTAATAAATACAATCACTAAGTCATTATTGTATTTTTTGAGAAAAAACTATTATTGTGTTAAGTGTAATTAGAAATTTAGTATAAATATATTAATAAATTGAATATAACTAATTAATAATTTCTATTAATAAATATGTATAATTATTAATATAATTGATAATATTAATTATATTACATATATTAATATACATTATATAATACTTATAATTAATAATATCATTATTATAAATTTGTAACTACTTAAATTATATATTATATATAAACACATATAATTATATATTTTGTAGGTGGCAGGGTGGGTAATGGAGTAGGGGTATATTCCCCTGCCCCGCCCTGTTTCTTAACGGGGAAAAAAAATTCCTCCGGCTTCACCCCACCCCCGTTTCAACCCCTTTTCATTAGCCCCGCGCCGGCATCCACCCTAATTCTCATTCCCACGTAGGAATTGCGCCTATAGGCTGATTTTGCGTGATTCCATAGCTCGACGCCATCTAATTATAACACTGGTGTGTTTCATAGGGAGGTATGCAAATTTGCCGATTTTACTGGATTCTACAACTCAATGTCATTGATTATCCTAATGTGTTCATTGAAAGGTGGTGCGTTCATAAGCTGATTTTGCGAGATTCGACGGTCCGTTCAAAGCTATTTATTATGGGATAATTGCAGAAACCTCCCTTGAGGTTTCGTGAAATATCACTAAGCTCCCCCCACGTTTTCAAAATCTCTCTTACCACCCCTCAAGTGATTGTGGTGTCACATGTCACTATCAAAATGGATAAATTATCAATAATAACCTCATTTCCTCTAGCAATTATTTAGCATATGAAAAGCAAAAAAAAAAAAAAAAAAAGAAAGAAAGCATGTAATAGCCTAAAGCCCGGGAAACAATTGGTCCATTTACAAAAAAAATTTGTTTTGATTTCTAGTTCAATTTTTTCCTTTAACATTGGACTTTATAATTTGACTTGAATTTGGGGCCAAGACATAATAGTTTTGACTTTTCATGTGCACTTAGTATAAACCATTATTGATATTGTGCAAGCGTCTTGATAATTTTTTAATATAACCAAATATTTTTTTAAAAAAAAATTACCCATGGCCACCTTTGTTTTAGTTTCATACTTGCCTTAGTTCACTAGTTATTTCTTAATCTATTATCCTTAGTTGCGGTAAAGAAATCAACACCATGTCTTTTGACATCTAACATCGATAACAAGTTTAGAAACGAGAATAGGATCCTTATTATTACCCTTTCGATATCTTTTTTAATATTTTTGTTTTATTTTAGTTTTCTTTCAATTTTCTTCCTTACACTCATATAATCAGAATATGTGGCTACGATAATGTTCTTTGGAATATAGAATTTTTTTTATGCATACATCCAATAATAATACCCTTATAACAAGGGTGAGTTGAAAGGAAACTAACTTTGTATATATTGAAAAAACTGGGGTGGTTTTGAATGGTTTTTCTTGGAAGTTTTTGTCAAAATAAAGTTAAATATATAATTTTTCTATTATACATTGCTGATTACAAAGTTTTAAAGTTCCAAGAAGGTGTACAAATAACATAGCACAAACAAATAAATAAGAGTAAAATGTCATACTTTTTAATAGCTGGTCATTTTCTTGTACCAATTTCCTCTCAATCTGCCCATTTTCTAAAGCTATTTCTGCCTTTTAATATTGCTGCTGGGAAGCCAGAACTAACTGTTGCCTTCCTAACGGTCATTCACCTTTCTCACTTGCAGTCCAATTTTCATGCATTTCACTAGGGGTGTTTCGTGAATCGAGCGGCTCGCGAGCCGATCGCGAGCGGCTCGAATACGAGCTCGAGCTCGAGTTCAAAAACATTAAACTCGTTGGCTCGCGAGCTCAATTATATATATTTTTTTATTTTTTATTTTTTATTTTAATAGTAAAATTACATATATATCCATAATATTTTATTATTTGTTAAAAAATTATTGTTTTATTCATTTTTTTTATTCATTTTTTTTTATTTTTTAAAAATAAAATAATAATAATTATTTTTTTTATTTTTTAAGCTCGAGCTCGACTCGAATTTGACTCGAGCTCGAGCTCAAGATTGATATTTTGAGCTCGTCCAGCTCGAGCTCGAGTTCGAGCTTCACAAAATTAACTCGAGCTCGACTCGATTAGCCAAAACTCGACTCGAGCTCGGCTCGTTTGCACCCCTACATTTCACACTTTGACCCTCTCACTTTCTACGTAGATTTTTTTTGGTCAGCTTAAGGGTATTAAGGGAACTAAAACACTCTCTCTCCTCCAAAATGCATTTTCTATTAATATTTTTGGTTGGAGGGACTGACATTGTTAACAAAATGTCAATTCAAAGGGTGTAAGAGAGATTTTGAAAATATAGAGGGAGCTTTGTGATATTTTCTGAAACCTCAAGGGAGGTTTCTGAAATTATCCCATTTATTATTCTTGTGCGTCAGACTTTGTAAATTAAATTAATCATCTCACATCAAAAGTCACTTAAGATGGCCACCCGATGCCAAGTCTGTATGAAGCGGGTATATTTATTTTCTCTAGAACGGGTCTACACCATACCAGCAAGCGGCAAACGCACTAACTTATCTGCACAAATAACGTGCTCGAGTATTTGTTAATTACATCATTTTTTGTGTAATTTCTGCAAGATCTGATGCTAAATCTTGAGGAGAAAATCGGATATTGGATTTTGCAACTTCCAGTTGCTATTATTAGGCTTTGTTTTGTGTGTCTTCCAAATTGATTTAAATGGGTTATTGGGTGCGCCAAGGCAGAGTGGGTGTTAGATAGGAGTGGAGTTGATCTGAGTAACTTGACTCAAGCTCGCAAGCTACTCGATCAGCAGTTCGGCTTGAACTTGCTTTGAACGAGTTCGAGCTGCTCGACAGAAGTAGCGAGTCGACCTCAATCCTAGTTATGAGATACTCGAAAGTTCGACAAACTCTATCTAGTATTTCATAAAAAAAATAAAAAAGTTATATATAATATATATGAAATTACTAATATAGGTAACCAACTTATGAAATTTATAATGAACCATTCTACGACCTTTTATTATTTGTGTGGGCAAAACAGGAATTTCATAAATCATAATTCTTTTTCTTGTTTTTTAGAGAACTTAATTTGAAAACATTAAGAAGGAAAAGATCTAATTTAACAAAGGTTTTCAAGCTCATTTTTGGAGCTTAAGTCGAGTACTACGAGTTCAAGGTCGAGTTTTTTTCAACTACATCAAGTTGAGTTTGAGTTTGAAATCAGGAAATTGTTCGAACTCGAGTAGTTCCCATAACCTTCAAGCTCGGCTCGACCCAACAGCATCCCTAGTTGGGTGATTAATTTATTTGGGGACTGTTCTAGATTTCAATTGTGATCCAAATTTTTATTCAAGGTTTCAATTGTGACCACATTGTTTTTGGACAATGTTCTTTGGGTCCAGCGACTGCAATACCACTTCCACCGGCAGTTTTTTTTTTTTTTTATTTATTTATAAGAGTACCGGTAGTTTTCCTTGGCTAACTGGCTATCAAAAGTGAAGAATATTCAACCTTCACAATTGAACGCGAAGGTCGGAACCTCCTACAAAGTGGTGACACATGACATGAAGTAGGATAAAATATATCAACACAAGTTAATTCAATTGATAAAAAATGAGTTGTGTGTTCAAATACTGTTACTTATGTGATGGTCGTGTTGACAGACAATTTGTAAAAATTTCTATAAATAAACTATAAAATCTATAATTACCGAGGCATGTTCAGGCCCAGAATAGCAAAAGAAGTATGGTAAAATACACTAGTACCGCCTCGTCACCAAAGGGTCAATAAATAAGAGTCTATAGAATCTAAATTGCTAGGTGAGTTGACTCCAATAGTATTACTCCTCTGCTCCTCCACTGGTTTTGCTCGTGTCTGGTTTTTGTCTGCAAAATCAAAAAATGGCATCGTCAGTAGTAGAAGAAGTGAAAGTGCCAAGAATCAAGCTGGGCTCGCAAGGTTTCGAAGTTTCAGCGCAAGGGCTCGGGTGCATGGGCATGTCAGCCTTCTATGGGCCACCCAAGCCCGAGCCCGACATGATCAATCTTATCCACTATGCTGCTAGCAGAGGAATCACTCATCTTGACACCTCCGATGTCTATGGACCCCATACCAATGAATTACTTCTGGGCAAGGTACTATTGTCATCTTGAGTACGGTTTTCAACTTGTACAATGATCATGATCCTCTGTCAATCGGGCCTTTAGGATCGGGTTTTGCTTAGTCCAAGATCAATTATATGAATCATGTTTGGGTCTTGGATTTAGCGGTGACTGAAAGGAGTTGTAGCTAGAAAATTCTACGTTCAAGATCTTTCACTTTAAAAAAAAAAAAATCATGCTTGAATCTGAGTTTAATCCGTTTAGATTTAAAATATCTTGATTTAAGCTCAATCCTTTGATACATTACATTTTGGGCTTAAAACGGGCTTGGACAGTTAAAAATTTTAAACTTTTTTTTTAATTTTTAATGAGTAATATTTTATTACAGATATGAGCTTTTAATTAAAAAAATAAAGTTTTAAGTAGTTAATGAAAAATTTAATTTTATTGTTATCACAAACTTCTTAAATTATAGCACTTTGATAAAAAGTGAATGATATAAAGGCAACTGATAAATTCACAGCTCAAATTTTACGTCCACAGCTATTTTTGTCAAAATACCAATAATACCCTACTCCAAGTCAAATATGAATAAATCATCAAATTTTGATGGGCCCCTGCCACATTCCCTCATCATCTCCACCTCTATCCAGTGCTGTTGGATTTGGATGGTCCAACCATGAATCGTCCTCCTTTTTAAATCAGTTAATAGTATAAAATCGCTTTGATAAAAAAAATAGTTAAAATTGTTAAAAATCGGTTAAATCAATAATCTGATTCAACTTTTTGACTCAGTTTTTAAACTTTTTTTTTTCAAACATAATTTAAATTACATAAATTATAAAACTTTTATTTCTTAATAGAAATAAAAAAAAATGCTGTATGAACACCAAAATCACTCGCACCTCTAAGCAATCTCTAAAACTTTCCTTGACTTTTTATTGGCGTTCTATGTTTGTTAATGGCACGGCACCACTTGACTTTTAGAGTTTGTAGAAAGACAAGAATACGCCTACATGGTATATGTCCTGTGTTGAATTCGAGAGAGGAATTTCTGGATGTAATTGCCAATTACCATCTAGCCAAAAAATGCAAAGAGTAGAAAAGGTCAGATTCCTAAGGTCTATGAGACATTATTGTGCAAGGAAACGCGAATAAAAGAAACTTTCAATTTCCATGAGTTTCAGAGGATATATAGTTTTGATTACATTATGTACCTTAATCATTGGAAATATGACTACAACATATATTTAACTTTTGCAACTTCTACAACGTCTCACAAAGAATAGGAAAATTTAGCCATAGTGGTTTAAGTTTGTTTCTCGTAAAAAACATAGTCAAAGTTCTACACTTTTGGATGATTAATGTTGTGAAAGAGTGAGTATAGGCTTTGAAGGGAGGGATACGAGAGAAAGTGGAGCTAGCAACAAAATTTGGGGTCAAAATTGAGGATGGAAAGCGGGAGATTCGTGGTGATCCAGCCTATGTAAGGGCTGCTTGTGAGGCTAGCTTGAAACGACTTGGTGTTGACTGCATTGATCTCTACTATCAGCATCGCATCGATACAAGTCTGCCTGTCGAAATCGCGGTTCGCTCTACTTTCCTTCTGTGTTTTTATCTTTCTTTTATGCTTGATGAAGTGTGACTAGTTCATCAATGTTATGAATGAAGTTAAGTAGCACAAAGTTGTGGAATTAGGTAAGTTTTTGACATCTTTGGATGTGTTGCACTAGATGTGGTAAAAATTTGATCTTTCATAACGATGCATGGCAATAGATTAAAATGCAAATATCTACTTATTGAATTGCTCCACACAAATCACTCTACTTTTCTCTAGGAATATGCTTTGGTATATAAAGAGAAGCCAATTGATGCATGACAAAGTGCTTGTTCTAATATGCTCTGCATTGCTACAGCATGCCAGAAGACACCGATTACTTGACAATCCTATTCTAAAATTTGTCCATTTACCAAGAATTGAAGCTTTTAGCTTTTAAATCTCCTTTCCGATTCCAATAGCATCCTTCAAGTCCTAGAATATCTTGAAGACTTGTGAGTTGTGGTGTCGCTTTAATGGCAGATACATGTACAGAGCAACTACCTTAAACTCACTACAGATGGGAGTAATGCCAAATAGCACCTAATGCGACCATTCTGGTTCTGTGGAACACATGTTATAAGTGGCTTAAATCAATACAAAGGCATTTATTATAGCATCAGCTAGTTGTTCTTTATCCGCTAAAAGTTGTGACATGATATACAGGAGGAGTGGAACAGAAGAAATTTAACCAATCTGTTGAATACCATTGCATATGTATGTTTTCAACTTCATGTATTCAATAAAAGTACGTACAAAGGACTACTAATACTTTGGCTCATAGATGTTCAAAATTCCAATTATCTGGCCTGGGATAATTAATACTAAATGAGCTTCAAATTGTTTTTTTTCTAGATAGGAGAACTTAAAAAACTGGTTGAAGAGGGTAAAATCAAGTATATAGGTCTATCTGAGGCCTCAGCTTCAACAATCAGAAGAGCACATGCTGTTCATCCAATAACGGCAGTAGAGTTGGAGTGGTCATTGTGGAGCAGAGATGCGGAGGAAGAGATCATCCCTACTTGCAGGTAGTTTACATATTTCCTGGTTCACTTCACTATACAGTATGCAGTAATATGCATTTGTAACTTCATCTTTGGGTTTTTTAGAGAACTTGGCATAGGGATTGTGGCATACAGTCCACTTGGACGAGGATTCTTCACATCAGGTTCGAAGGTGGTTGAGAATTTATCTGAAGGTGACATCCGAAAGGTTTGTTCATGACCATAAAGTGTACCGAGTTTCTTAGTTCCAAACACTGAGTTAGTCATTACAGATTATGAGCTAAAATCCCTACCTTCAAATCTTATGATTTAGTCTAATGTGGCAATTAAACTCACATTGTTGTCCCAGCTACTCGTTAGAATCATCGCTACCTTCGAGAATTAATTTTTGTTAATTAGGTTATGGATCATCTCAAGGTTATCTGCATTCATTATTTGTATTTGTGGGGATTCCTTCTCAATCTGGCACTAGAGTTGCTCATGACAGAAATTTACACGATATATATGCAGAATTTGCCAAGGTTTCGAACAGAGAATATGGAGCATAACAAGAACCTGTACGAGCGTGTCAATGTCATCGCTTCAAAGAAGGGTTGTACCCCATCACAGCTAGCATTGGCCTGGGTGCATCATCAGGGAAACGATGTTTGTCCCATTCCTGGCACCACCAAGATTGAAAACCTCAATCAGAATATAGGAGCTTTGTCTGTAAAACTGTCTGCGGAAGATATGGATGAACTGGAATCCATTGCTTCAGCTGGAATAAAGGGTGATAGACTTCCCCCTGGCTTTGATAGTTGGAAAACCTCTGATACTCCACCTCTGTCAACGTGGAAGGCCACATGAATACTGCCTTTGTTATGCTAACAATTCATGTAGCTATCTATCTGAATAATGCATTTTCACTGTTGTTGAGGGCTGAGTGAATTGTAACTGTTCCAATAAACTGCAACCTAATTCATAGTATTGTGTTGAGGGTTGATTCATTTTACAGCTATCTTATACGAAGTTAAAAACTTGAGGTTGTAATGGATAAAAATCTGGTCAAGCAAACAAATTGCTTGCTGGTCTTGTTGCAGGACAAGCCAACAGTACCCTTGCTGCTGTTTGAATAAGATGTTTATCTGGTGTATTTCTGAACATCTAAAGGGTCCTGTTATTTAGATTATATAACGGCAGAAATGATGCCTCATACCTCTTTGAAACCTATAAATTGCTGAAAGGGATTCAGTTTGTTAAGTAGTGAAGAGATGCTGTATTTTTAAATGTTGTCTGTTGTCTTCCCTTTAGAATTTTAAAAGACAAAAAGTGTCACCAATAAAAATACATACTTGAGCTGTAAATACTATAGGTTGCTTCTTTAGAATTTTTTTTTTTAAAAAAAATCATGTTCATATATTTTTTTTAAATTGCCTTCCAGATTGGAGAAAGTTTTTAATTAATGGCCAAATAATTAAATCCATAAAGCACGTTAGAAAAAAGGTACATGAAGCTATAAAGCATTAATATACATTTGTCAAAACTCATTTAATAATTTAACCTGCAGTATCTCGAGAAGAGAAGCACACCTCGTCAAGTAATTGTCATTTTAATGCATCAAAATTAAGTTCTTTAGGTGAATAATCAGAAAAACCCATGCAGAAAAATGCTCTAAATTACTTTTATTACCATTAAGCCAGTATCCAAATGGTTGGACGCGTCTCATTCGGATTGCGTCTCATTTGGACGCGCCTCATTTGGTCAGAATGTTCCTCAACATCAATCCAAGTGTTCAGACAGTTTTTGAATTTTTAAACACCATTTAGATGGCAATTAATTGTCAAAAACATGTAAAGGTGCCAAATAAATTTGAACAATTTCTGAACAGTGCAAGACAATGATAAGTCTTATGGTGGATCCTAAGACGGGCTCCCGTCTTGCAATTGATCAAATTTTGAAAATATTTAACGTTGTATTTGCTAATAAATAGTTATAAACAAACATGTCTAGAAGCAGATTTGCAGAAAATAAGATCAACTGCCAAATTTATTACTCTCTTTCGTTTTCCATTATCACTTTTCTCATTTGGCCACTTTTTTCCAATGTTATATTATTAGTTAAATTTTAAGCGAAAAGTTCTTTACGGAATTTTTTTCATTTTATTTTTTTCCTCCTTTTCTTTATCATATTTAGACTTCTTTTTCCTCCCCCTCTATTCGTATTATGACATACAAATTTTTATAATAATGTGCTAAAAAATTTTCTATTATAGTTCAATACAAATTGTTAGTTTTTAACTAAAAGAATTTAATCATAATCATTATTATAAGAAATTAAAAAGCATGAGAAAAAAGAAATTAAAAAACATATATTTTTATATAAGAAACTTAAGTATTTCACATTTGTATTAACAATTTCTTAGTATGTATTAATTGTTAGCTAAATATCATGATGCATTATCTTTTAAAATATAGAAGTTACACAACAGACTTTTACAAAATATATACTTTATAATTTAAAATAACTTATGATACTTAAATATTTGACATAACAAAAATACTTACTTAAGCCTTAAATGAAATTGCAATTACCCCTTATTGGCAGTTTCTTTTAAGGCTTAAATATGTATTTTCATTATGTAAAATATTATATCGTCATAAACTATTGCAAAAATTAAAATGTAGATATTTTGCAAAATTATGTTTCATAATTCTATATATTACTCATTAATAACTAATGCATCATGACATTTAGCTAAAAACTAATACATAATAGAAACTGCAAGTATATGCAAAATACTTAAATTTTTTTATATAAAGCATATGCTTTTTAATTTCTTATATAATGATTAAATACTTTTAGTATATGTATTTAACCATAAAAGAAAATTCTTTAGCACAATATTGTTAAAGTTTATATGCAGTAGTAGGAGTAGAGGAAGAAGAAAAAGAAATCTAAACGTAATAAAGAAAAGGAAGAAAAGAAGAAAGAGAAAATTAAAAAATATATATAATGAAATACAATAAGGGATTGTCTTTATTTGCCCCATAAATTTGACCTTTAATCATCAGGGGTATTGTGTATGTTTCATGATTACACAGATAATTTGCTACTAAATTATAATTACAGAGGAACAACTTGTACTTAAGCCAAAAAGGGAAAAAAAAAAGGCACGATAAGTAGTCACTTGGAGGCCTCCCTGGGTTCGAATCCTCAACTTTAGTTACGTTGAAGATTATGTGGCAGGACTCCAAATTCACTGAAATGTTCACCACAATACTTTGCGATGCAGAAAACGAAAGCAAAAAAGACAAAATCGAAAAAAAAAGAGGAAATGTAGGAAGTTAAATCAAGCCATTATGTTTTAGTATTAATAATTAAGTGGTGGTCTACATACCACATTGTCATTGGTTATTCGATACAAGTGTTATTATGTCTGTTGATTGCATGGAAAAGGTAATTAGAGCCATGATTGAGTTTAAGTTCGAGTGCTGTGTATGTGAGAAGAAAATTTTCCTTTGCCTCTTTAATCGATTTGTTGAGAATTTTTCTGTAGATTTATGCCATGATTGTTTATCGATTTCAGTTCATCAGAAATTGCTTACCTTTGCACTCACATCATCCAAGTCCCAATCAAATGTTCCAAAGGAGACAGATGCCAGCTACTATTCCACTTTGTATTATTTCTTTGTCTCGATACTAAATTATCCTACGGGACTTTATCTTGTCCTAGTTATTGTTTGAGAGAATAAAATTTATACACAATATCTTCACTTTCTATTTCCTATGACAATTAAAACGTAGAATTTTTCAACCTTCACATTTGAGAATGAAGGTTGGGTTAATAAATAGCAGAGCTTAGGATCTGAAATATTTCTTATTTAGTGTGTTGTGGACACTCTTCTTCTGCTCCTCAAGTACTGTTTCCTCTGTGTCTGGTTTTTGTCTGAAAATGGCATCGTCAGTAGTAGAAGAAGTGAAAGTGCCAAGAATCAAGCTGGGCTCGCACGGTTTTGAAGTTTCAGCTCAGGGATTGGGTTGCCTGGGGATGTCAGCCTTCTACGGGCCGCCAAAGCCCGAGCCCGACATGATCAAAGTTATTCACTATGCTATCAGCAGAGGCATCACTCATCTTGACACCTCCGATTTTTATGGACCCCATACCAATGAATTACTTCTCGGGAAGGTACTAATCCCACCATCTTTTGTTGGTTGTACATTATGGTTTTCAGCTTGTACCTTGATCATCATTCTCTCTTCAATGATTTGAACTTTAAAATGATGGCAATAGATTATACAGTGGTAAAACAGGAAACGGTGCTCCCCAGTTGAATTCTAGTTGTTGTGGTTTTTATTACATTTGGTACAAACTTGCAGTGAATTTTACTCCTACTTAGTTGTACAAGTTAACAAATTTCATGATTACATCAAAATTCTACGAAATGTTATAAGAATTACATAAATTGGATAGATGTGAATAAAATTCAATCGGAGAGGCTCTAAATCCAATAGAATAATTCCTGTCGATCTTCAGTTAATTTATAAAGGAATTGACATTAGGCACTCTATTATATAATTACATCTTCCTTGACATTTATTAGCATTCTATATTTTTCAATGGCACCACTTGACTTTTAGGGTTTGTGGAAAGACAACAATATGCCTACATGTTATGTATCCTCTAAAGAGTTCGAGAGAAGAATTTTTGGATGTAATTACTATGGAGCTTAAAATGCTAAGAGTAGAAAAAATTCAAGAGAAAAATAGTATCCTAAGGTAAGATTAGGAGAGGTTATGATTCCGTAAACCGGCTATACATTCAGTCCGGTTCAATAGTTAACTCAAAAATTGAATTGACCTGTTATATCTGGTCAAGAACCAGTTGGATTAGTAAAAATTGGGAGGTTCAATTGGATTTCACTGATTTTTTTTATTTATTTAAAACCAATATTTTAGTTTTATTCAGATTTTTAATATTAAAATAAATAAATAATGATTGAACCTTTAAACTAAGGTTGAACCGGTCGGATTAATTGAAACGCAAACTGAAAGCTCTTTCGACTCGCTCTCCAATACAGATTTAAAAGCATTGTAAATAGGTTGATAAGTATATGATTGTTTTGTGTTCAGAAACCCAGAATAAAAAAAATTTCCAATTTTCCTGAGTCTCATAGAATATAGTATTGATTACATTTTTGTACCCAGAAAGAGTAGGAAAATTTTGCTAAAGTGGTTAAAGTTCGCTGCTAGTAATAATATAGTCAAAGTTGACATTTTTAAGAGAGCATATATTTCTGCTGTTTCATAATGGAGGAGGGTGATACGAAAATTAATCCCAACAGTTTCTGTTAAGGAGTTATTACAAGATTAACATGTTTTAATTTGTGTCCCGGATGATTAATGTTGTGAAAGAATGAGTATAGGCTTTGAAGGAAGGAATACGACAGAAAGTGGAGCTAGCAACAAAGTTTGGAATTAGACCTGTGGATGGAAAGCTGGAGATTTGTGGTGATCCAGCATATGTAAGGGCTGCTTGTGAGGGTAGCTTGAAAAGACTTGGAGTTGACAGCATTGATCTCTACTATCAGCATCGCATCGATACAAGTCTGCCCATCGAAGTCACGGTTCGCTCTGCTATCCTTCTGTGTTTTTATCTTTCTTTTATGCTTGATGAAGTGTAACTAGTTCATCAATGTTATGAATGAGTTAAGCAGCACAAAGTTGTGGAATAAGGAGTTTTTTACATCTTTGGATGTGTTGCACTAAATACGGTAAAAATTTGATAGAACATTGTTGCCTAATGATGCATGGCAACAGATTAAAATGCAAATATCTACTTGTTGAATTGGTTTACACAAATCACTCTGTCTTTTCTCTAGGAACATGCTTTGATATATGAGTGAAGCCAATTCAAATATGACAAAATGCTTGTTCTAATATGTTCTGCAGTGCTACGGCAAGCCAGAAGACACCAATTACTTCACAATCCTATTTGAACTCAGGCTCATTCATTTGAGATCCCTAAAATTTGTCCATTTACCATGAATTGAAGCTTTGGGCTTTTAAATCTCCTTTCTGATTCCAATAGAATCTTGCATGCTTGTGAACTGTGGTGTCGCTTTAATTACAAATACATATGCAGAGCAACTATCTTAAACTCACT